CATGTTTCTTCTTTAAATTCTTTGAATAGCCTTTAAAATCCAGGGCTTAAGCTCCGCCACATTAGCATAGACTCCTGGATATTTGGGATGAGCGCAGTCCATTCCAAAGGATACGATGCCAACAAGTTCACCATTAGAGACAAGAGGACCGCCAGAATCCCCAGAGCAGGAATCTTTTCCGGGAGCGGCGGCACAGATCATTTCCTTGGTGATAAATCCGCTGTACGATCTCTGACACTTATTGCGATCAACAATATCGACTGAGACACCGTGTAAGGCTTTGGACATTGGCCGTTGATAACCAATAGATCCCCATCCAGAAACCGATGCAGAAGATCCAGTTGCAGGGGAACTTTCGGCCAAAGGAATGGACCCGACGGCAGTGCCCAAACTGAGTTTAGACTGAAGACGAATCACGGCTATATCGTTGGCCAAACTCTTGTCAAAACTCTCGTGCCCCAGGATCTTTGATACCTTCACCACCTGTCCACCGTATCGGGTGTACGTTGAGCCCACTCTCACGGAAAAGGCACCGGCAGAGACGCCTTTAACACAATGAGCAGCCGTTATGATGATATCTGAACTGTAGATGACGGCACCGCACCAATGCTTGCCGTACTTTTGCAAGGATGCCTGCCAAGGCACTGATCGAATTGATATCGAGCTACCTCCCACAATTCGTTCCGGAAGAGAATGACAGGAAGTCAGAGACACGCTGAAGATAAGAAGAATCCACTGAACACACATTTTAACTGGAGCTATGATAAAGAATGTTTTTTTCGCAGGTGAGCAGCTTTTTTTATAGTTAAAACTTGGTTGTAAATGGAATTCTATTTATGCTTGCTTTGTAATTCAAAAATGTTAATGGATTTTTTTAACCAACAAAGGAAAACTAATTACTGGAAGGCTAAGGCAAGATAATTCGTATCTAAACAAAATATAACATAAATCGTTGGAAAACCTTAAAATAAAAAGCAATTAAACTTTTAAGAAAGTAACTGTAAATTTCTTATTTTTAGAATATTTACAGAACTACGTTAAAGATTGGAAATATTTTGTTAAATTACCTTTTACTTCTATATAAACTGTTGCACTATAACCAATAAGTAAACTTTTGTTAATAAAAAAAATTCCCGTTCTTACTGATTTTAGTTTCTCAATGTAAAGGAAGAATCTCCGTTCTTTAAAAGGTTTATTTGGGCTTACCAATAATACTACATTATAATTTGCTTAGCTGCCTCGATACTTAGCTGCATCGTCAAGAAAGCTGCCTGATATTTTCATTTTTCTGCATCATGGTCACTTTAGTATAAAAATAATTACGTTTGGTGCACCCAACTTAGCAGCCTTCTGCACTTAAGCGCCTCATATCGGCAGAATTTTTTATGGCTTTCTATGAAAATCATGTAAGTTAGCTAATAATAATAATAATAATTTCTAGGCAGTATGGCAAAAAAAATAACAGACTATTTTAGATGTACTTTATTTGAGCTATACGTAAACTTTTTTTTGTTCAAAAATTAAAATTAAGATAGCTGCATTTTTAAGATAGCTGCCTCGAAGTTGTGTGCAAAGTACTCGAGGCAGCTAAGCAAATTATACTTTACCACAAATATTAAATTATATTATACAAATATTATTAATTTGATTTCCAAAATATAACTGTAAAAACGTTATTCCCATCACATTTCATTTTCTAAAATTAGCTGGATATTATTAACCTTTAATCCCTTAGATTATTGACTTACGATCCATAGAAGTAAAACATTTTGGAGCACTCTGAATGCTAACATCCCTATCCCAAGAAGTGGAAGGTTAAAGATGATTATAATATGGTTTTCATCATCAGAAATTTTCTGTAAAAGAAAGCGATTTGCTAAGCCTAGCCATTGGGTGAACAATGTAACAAAATGGTAAAATAATTTGCTGGAAATTAGTGACTCTGTCAACGATCTGTAAAATTCTGTCCCGATTTGAAATTGTTGGTTTATAAACAAGTATGTGCCATATTTTATGGGCGTTATAATGGGCTTGGCCGGTCGAAAAACCAAACCTACGCTGTCAGGCACTTGTACTAGGCTCCAGTTATCCTTGTTTATGACCTAAACTTTTGAAAGCCTTTAAAAACAGTTTTTAAAATATTAAGTTAATAAAGCTTTTTGGATTTGTTTTATACAAATGCTCTGGTGAATATTTATTTGTTATATATATATTTGTACATTTTTCAAATAGAATTAATGGCATTTAAAATCCATTTTTTGAAGAAAGGCACACTGATGTAAGAAGAAGTGGCAGTGCAAGTACCGTAGACTATAGAGACAACACCGACTAGTTGTTGGTCCACAACCAATGGACCACCAGAATCGCCAAAGCAAGCGGATTTGTTAAAACTTCCGGCGCAAATATAATCATCATAAAGTCCTATGCACTTATGAATAGGGACGACTATGCCTTGAAGATCTCTAGGATGTGTCTGCTGAGTATGGCTAATAGCTAAAGTTGCTCCCCAGCCAGTGGAAAATGCAAAAGTTCCAATAGGAGGGTTCATGTCGGCCAAAGGGATTGGCCAAACTTTCTTGGAAAACTGAAGTGGTTTACTCAGTCGTATGATGCCGATGTCGCTTCGTTTCGTTATAAAATTGAATTCTTCGTGAGATTTAAAGGCGGCCACTTCGATTAGATCTCCTCCAAAGTCAATAAATGTGGATCCTGCGCGAATAAAAAAATCTTTGGGCTCAAGTCGTCCTCCGCCTATTTTAAAAAGACAGTGGGCAGCCGTAACGATAATATCTTTGCTATAAATGGAACCACCACAAATTCGTTGCTTTTGTATGAGTAACAACACCTGCCAAGGTGCCTGTTCGATTCTAATAGAGTTTCCACCGGAAATGCGTTCTTTCGGCTGGAATACTCGTTCTGCAGACAGGAAGTTGATTGCCTGTAGAAGGAAGAAGCACTTGATGAACATCTTGATCAGCTTGGACAAATTCTTTAACCACAATGAGTTCTCCACGGTGAGAAGAAGGGTTTTATAGACCACAAATGTCAATTTTTCTTTTTATCTGTTAATTTCTACAAGAATATTTATCAAAGATAAGAAAATAGAAAAAGTCAAAATCTATTAAGAAAGGAACTCGCTAATCATATAATTTTCAATAAACCCTGAAAGTTATGTTTTCACGAGCGTTAAAATTGAGTTTTTCTAGTCAACAACAATGTATTATATTGCTTTTTTACTTTGTATTTCTTTAAAGCTTAAAGAGTTGTGTAAAAAGATCCATCATTATTTTTTTACCCGCGGCTTTTTTGACATTTTCAATTTTCTTATCTTTAAGAAAGTCAAAAATACTTGCATTTTCATTGTTTTTTTTAGATAATATCACAAATACGAATGCCATGCGAGCCTATAAAACAGTTGCTCTAGCCATAGAGAACTCATTGTGATCCAAGGACTTGACCAAGCTGGTCAAGATGTTCTTCAAGTGCTTCCTGCTTGGCATTCAACTTTCTGTCTGCAGGAGTGGGGTACTACTCCGAAGAACACATTTTCGGTGGGAATTCTATTAGAATCGAAGACGCTCCTTGACAAGTGTCTATAGAAGTAAGGAAACGAAATTATTGTTAAGAATCCATTTACAGCAAGGATGTCATCATTAAAGATTACCACCAAAAGATTATCACCAAAGATTATCATATTCGCGCAGGATCCACATTGGTCCTCTCCGGAGGAATTCTATTCGGGGTGGCAGCCATTAAAACCCATGAGGGTTTAATTTTGCAAGGAATCTGAGTGACATTGCCGTCATGCGATTGAGTAAGCCACTTCAGTTTTCCGATAAAATTCAGGCTATACCTTTGGCCGTGACATCTCCTGCTATTGGAACTATTTCATTCCCATCTGGCTGGGGAGAAATGTTGGATTATAAGGATATGAAAAAGAAGTATGGTAAAAGTAAAAGGAGTACTACTTCCTATTCAGCGGCTATATTTTTGTAGTCAATCATTAGATGTCATTTTTACAGGCTACAATGGACACAGCGGTGGTTATGGCGATTCTGGTGGTCCATTGGCTGTTAACAAACAACTTGGGGGTGTCGTCTTAGGCCAGAATGAAAATTGCACCAGTATTTCTATTTACACCAGTGTTCCTTACTTCGACAAATGGATTTTATATGCTATTAATACTGTTTAAGAAATGTACAAAAAATTAATATTTACCAGAATGTGTATATAAAGCAAACTAAGATGGTCTTTAATGAGTATCGTTTTATTAAATATTATAAATAAATGCTTAAGGTCGTTCGATTGTAAAAAGAAGATGAAAGAAAGGAAGATAATTTGAATGTAACGGCCATTGTGTGCCTTTCGTTACTAGTTGAATGTCTTGTTCCTAGTTGAATGTCTCGTTTCTAGTTGTTTCTTAGTTCGGTACATTCTCCTCACTGCTGCCAATTTGGCTTTTCCCCGTCAAAATTTTTTTGAAGGCTAACCGCGGGAAAAATTCATGAATTGCGGGAAGCGGAAATTCTTTTTTTTTTTTTAAATTCATTTGGATTTTTTTGTGGAGGTGGGGAAGCGACCTTTTTTTTCTGTTTTTCGTCATCATTGTAAGATTTTCATTCTGACGACCTTTTTTTTTTGTGGTCATTGCCAATTGCGCTATGTTTTTTGTAGACTTTTAAAATATTTTTTTAGCTTTTTTTCTCCACACTTCCTGCCAAAACAACTTTTTTCTCCGGTCAAAAGTTAGCAGCACTGATTCTCATGTTATGCTAGTACAAGTACGAACAGATATTTTTAACTATATTTAGCTGTACATGGTCCCTTAAGTAGTTACCAGTTACCAATGAAAAAAATTGTTTTACACTCTTGCCGTGTTAAAATATTTATTAAAAATTGCAATAAATTTGTTTGAATAAAATCATATGTTAATAATTAAATATTTCATACTATCATTTTTCTCAAATAATTTTTATAAAAACGTGTACTCTTTAACGATTTTACAAACGTTGTACAGTTTTAATGATCCAAGGGTTTAGTTCAGCCACATTAGCGTAAACTCCGGGATATTCTGAATGAGCACATCCCCGCCCGAAGGAAACAATGCCAACCAGTTTTCCATCGGATACTAAAGGACCACCAGAGTCACCGCCGCAGGAATCCTTGCCTGGGGCAGATGCACAAATCATGTCTTTGCTGATTCCTCCTCTGTAGGAAGACATGCAGGAATCTCGATCCACTATAGCCACCGTGGTTCCTAGGAGAGTGGTGGAACCTTTTCCATAAGATTCGATTGATCCCCATCCAGAAACAAAGGCCAAAGATCTAGGTTGTGGGGAACTATCGGCCAATGGGATGGATCTGACGCCGAAGCCCATGATGAGATTCCTTTGAAGTTGGATCACAGCTATGTCATTGGACTCTGCAAAAAGTCTTGCCAAAGGCCTCATGTTCAAGGATTTGTGATACCTTCACCACTTGACCACGAAAACCGGAGTTCGAAGATCCCTCTCACGGAGAACATATAAGGTGGCTTACGTTCTGTACAGTGGGCAGCCGTTAAAACGATTTTCTCACTATAGATGACGGCACCGCAGTGATGACTTCCATACATTTGCAGCGAAGCCTGCCAGGGAACCGATAGAATGGACACCGATTGTCCTCCCACGATGCGCTCGGGAAGCCCCTTGGAGGAGATCAAAGCAGCGCTGCAGATCAAGAGAATCCACTGGACTAACATTTTGAACTGGAGTTGGAGTGATGAGTGGTTAACAGGTCTGGGATCCAATCTTTTATATGCATTGGGTTTCCTTAGGTATTCGCATTCCGACTTAAGAAAATACTTAAGAATGTTAATTAAAGTTTTAAAATTAGCTTTCCAATAAGGTTTTCAATTAAGGTTTAAATTGAAATCCTTTAAATAGAATTTCAGATAATGATTATAAGATATTAAGCGTTTTTCCTTTAGTTTAAGTCATAGTTTATTTTTAGAGGAAACTTTATTTTATACAAATGTTAGTTAATATAATTATCTAAATTGCTTTAACTTTTAAGGGCTTTACTCATTTTTCATTAATTTTAAGTTCGCCAAACACAAAGATATAGTAGTCATGGCATTCATATTTAAAATAAGCTTACAAATGAATATATTTTTTGGTTACTCTCCTTAGGCACTCAGAACTTCTGCCTAAGCAACTCACAGTTTGTATACGAATAATTATAAATATCTTTGATTTTTATTAGAAAGCTTAAATGCATTTCAAATGCGTTTTTAAAATGTATCGATTTTCGGTTTTAAAATGATTTTCAATATATTAAAGTTAAAGTAAAAATCTCACAATGAAAACTCCTAAAGTTATCTGCTCTTGTTAATTTTAAAAAATTACAAAGGGCAGATTTCTCTTAATAGTAATAATATATTTAATATTTATAAGTGTTACTAAGGTGTGAGATTATATAACAAAAATATCGGTTGCATTTTCATTGTAAGTATTTTATCTAAGAAAAATATTAACATTAAAGGTTAGTTTATACCTTTGGAACCACAAGTTTGCGCAACAAAAATCAGTACCTTAAACCAAAAAAAATGGTTGCTTCCTCTATGATTATGTATTGTAGGTATACTATGTAACTCTAAAGAAAGATTGGAAAGTTTGCTTAAAAAATTTAAAATATAAAAGGTATTTATTTATTTATTTTGTATTTGTCAAATGGAAAGCCATTATAGTTTATTTCCGAAAGAAAAGCTTACTTAAGAAAGTTCTTACACCTCTGCAGCGACATTTCAATAATTTTTCTGTTCTTTGCCTAAAATGAAATCAAGAAGTCGAGTGCCTCGACACACAACTTTAAAATATTTATTTTGCTAGTGGAAATTCACAAAGCGCCACCTATTGTCAGAGAAAGCATGATGAGTAACTGATAGTGATGTCACTGCCCATGTGAGGCCTTATAACCTATATTTCTTCATGAATAGTGAAATAATGTTCCGATTTGAAACATCTTTGGTATTTCAATAGATATTGAAAAAAATGAATGTTATTCAAGATCAAACGAAGTTTATTATTATTAGTTATTGCAGTTTTTCGCAATAGCAGAAATTTCAAACCGATTTAATGGCATCTCAATATCCACGAACGATATTGAGCTATTGAGCTACGCTGGCGAAAAGTCCAGAGGACAAACATAAAAACTCTCTACCACGTGAGGTGATCTCCACTAGCCGCCACAATATTAAAAACCCTTATCTTCTATAACTGTACATGGTCCCTTAAGTTGTTTAGTAGGTGAGAGTGAAGGGGATGGCGATAGTTGTGCAGGCGATAGGCGTAGCTTTCTTGCTCGTCACAAAAAATATAAGAGGAAGAAAATGCAAGTCACCGGGAGCAAGCTCAAAGGAACTCATTTTGTGCATTAAGTCACAAAAAGAAACCGATCATCAACAGCGACCAAATGAACGAGGGTCTAAGCAACACCCCCCATAATATATGTTATTATATTATATATACCAATGCCAACGTCAGACCTAAATATCATATTAAACACTTACTTTCAATTTAAAGACAACCGTTTACATTAATATAGCCACAAAGTTCCTTGTGAGGAACACAGCCCATGGGCTTTTCCAGTATCCAAGCTTGTTTATTACTCACAAAAATTGATAATTTCCTCGAAATTAAGTCCATCAAAAAATGCATTAGGCAATAGCGGTTGATTAAGTGAAAATTGCATAAATTTCGTATAAAAATCAAGTCAAAAATGTTACAAAAACACAAAATTTTTTTTACATTGTTGTAAATTGTTGTAAAATATTTATTAGAAATTTCCATAGATTTTTAAAAATAAGTAAGCCACATTATTTAAAGTTTTCATATTACCATGGCATGCGATATCTTTAACGATTTTACAAACGTTGAATAGTTTTAACGATCCAGGGCTTTAGTTCGGCCACATTAGCGTAAACTCCGGGATATTCTGAATGAGCACATCCCCGCCCGAAGGAAACAATGCCAACCAGTTTTCCATCGGATACTAAAGGACCACCAGAGTCACCGCCGCAGGAATCCTTGCCTGGGGCAGATGCACAAATCATGTCTTTGCTGATTCCTCCTCTGTAGGAAGACATGCAGGAATCTCGATCCACTATAGCCACCGTGGTTCCTAGGAGAGTGGTGGAACCTTTTCCATAAGATTCGATTGATCCCCATCCAGAAACAAAGGCCAAAGATCTAGGTTGTGGGGAACTATCGGCCAATGGGATGGATCTGACGCCGAAGCCCATGATGAGATTCCTTTGAAGTTGGATCACAGCTATGTCATTGGACTCTGCAAAAGTCTTGCCAAAGGCTTCATGTTCAAGGATTTGTGATACCTTCACCACTTGACCACCGAAACCGGAGTTCGAAGATCCCACTCTCACGGAGAACATATAAGGTGGCTTACGTTCTGTACAGTGGGCAGCCGTTAAAACGATTTTCTCACTATAGATGACGGCACCGCAGTGATGATCTCCATACATTTGCAGCGAAGCCTGCCAGGGAACCGATAGAATGGACACCGATTGTCCTCCCACGATGCGCTCGGGAAGCCCCTTGGAGGAGATCAAAGCAGCGCTGCAGATCAAGAGAATCCACTGGACTAACATTTTGAACTGGAGTTGGAGTGATGAGTGGTTAACAGGTCTGGGATCCAATCTTTTATATGCATTGGGTTTCCTTAGGTATTCGCATTCCGACTTAAGAAAATACTTAAGAATGTTAATTAAAGTTTTAAAATTAGCTTTCCAATAAGGTTTTCAATTAAGGTTTAAATTGAAATCCTTTAAATAGAATTTCAGATAATGATTATAAGATATTAAGCATTTTTCCTTTAGTTTAAGTCACAGTTTATTTTTACACGCAACTTTAGTTTATACAAATGTTAGTTAATATAATAATCTAAATTGCTTTAACTTTAAATGGTTTTACTCATTTTTCATTCATGTTAAGTTCACCAAACACAAGAAGTAGTAGTCATGGCATTAAATGAGCCTACAAATTAATATTTTGTTTGGTTACTCTCCTTAGGCACTCAGAACTTCTGGCTAAGCAACTCACAATTTGTATACGAATAATTATAAATGTCTTTGATTTTAATTAGAAAGCTTAAATGCCTTTGAAATGCGTTTTTAAAATGTATCGGTTTTCGGCTTTAAAATGATTTTCAATATATTAAAAAGTAAACATCTTACAATGAAAACTCCTAAAGTTATCTGCTTTTTGTTAATTTTAAAAAATTACAAAGTGCAGATTTCTCTTAGTAGTTACTAGCATTACTAAAGTAAGAGATTATATTACAAAAATATCGGTTACTTTTTCATTGTAAGTATTTTTTCTGAGAAAAATATTAAAAATAAGGATTGGTTCTAGTCTAGCACTATGTGGAATTTGAGCCGTTTTTGTGCCCAATATTAATATTTTTAAAATGAAAAAATCTCAAAAAAAAAACGCACAATGAGCTTATATATTCTGAATTCTGATTTGAAAAATTTACAAGTATTTGTTGATACAATTGAAACTTTTTAAAAACCTTTGCAAAGTACAACTTTTTTTCCAAAAGTGACAAGGGGACACCACTTGCCAAATATACAAATTGTTAGAAAAATACGAACGAAACACACAACGTATTAGTATAAAAAAAGTATTAACTTTAAGTATCAATATTCAATTTGAATTAGATTATTTAATGATTTTTTCTAAGAGATATGCCAATTTGAAGTTGCACCACAAAATTAACCTTTTTAACGGCACGTGGTGTTCGCTTGCAACAGCTGACTTTAACAGCTTGTATTTTAACAGTAAACTGTTAAATTAACATTTTAGGTATGTAACATAGCATTTTGATTCTTTCTTAACATGGTACGATTGAAAACTCGGAAATTTGCATACTTTCGAAAAATTCCACATAGTGCTTTGGAGCCACAAGTTTGGGCAACAAAAATCAGTATCTTAATCCAAAACATGAGGAAACGATATAGTCGAGTGCCGCGACTATAAGATACCCGTTACTGTATTACACAAATTTAAAATATTCATTTTGCTAGAGGAAATTCCCAAAGCGCCACCTATTGTTGGAGAAACCATGTTGAGTAGCTTGCCCTGCGTCAGGACCTCAAGAATCTGCCTGCTTAAACAGAACTCAGTATTTCTTATATTTCCTGAGACCTCAGCGTTCATACGGACAGACGGACGGATGTAGCTTAATCGACTTCGCTATTGATACTGATCAATAGTATATATACTTTATAGGGTTGAAAACGCTTCCTTCTACCTGTTACATACTTTTCAACGAATCTAGTATACCCTTTTACTCTACGAGTAGCGGGTATAATTATCAAAGAAAGGGAAAGGGAACAAGTAAATTGTTACATTTTTGAAATGGTAAATAAATTTAATAATTCAATGATATAATATAATAATATAATATAATATAATTTTATTTGTCTGATCCTTTATTTCAATATTTTAAAAACGAAATGTACAAATTGATAAAAATTTAGTTGCAAATTTTCTTTTTAATTCGGAGTACAGCACAGCAAAGTGCAACTGCTAACAAATATAACTGCAATATCAGAAATTTCAAACCGATTTAATGGCATTCAGGATCCACGAACGATATCGAGCTACGCTGGCGAAAAGTCCAGAGGACAAACATAAAAAATTTCCAGCACGTGAGGTGATCCCCACTAGCTTTCCATCAACG